CATGGAGGGAATCGAACACGCGAGCTTCAGTATGAGAGTTACAGTATTTGCCACTGCGTCATACAAGTCAGCATTTTAGGAAATATATGCTGAAACAGTGTGTCGGTGAATTTCATCTAAAGCCCTAGGTATAAAAGTTATATTTTTACAGGTTTAAATGGGTAATGAAAACTACACCACGCCATATTTTTGTGAATGCCGTTGTTTGTACGCTCAGTTTTGCATTCAGCTTACCCATATCACTGGCATTATTTCCGCAAGAATCTCGAGTACGTTTCGTGTGTGTGTGTGTTTTTTTTGAAACCTTATAGGCAGGAAGTTAACCCCCTCCTCCTTCATAATTCGCCCTCTAAGAGGGATTTTGTGTGCAAAACTTTGAATCTGTTTTGCGAACTTCTGCAAAGGAATTCAGTATGTTAGAAATTTTTGACGAAATTTAATTTGTGCCACCAAATCGGTTCATTCAAAATCCAACTTCTTATTGACAGAAAATTTATATCTTTCTTTTTTTACCTTGTTTTGCTAGCAAAAGTATTTTTTAGATTTCGACTATTTCTCTGGAACCGGAATTACAAAAACGTACAAAGCAAGAATACCTGTATTATAATCGTGGATTGTGACGATGATGATAATTCATAGCTGCTCGTTTATGGGAAAATCGGGTTTTGCAATATCCAACAATTGGGCTGTCCGCACGATCCTGGCAGCGTTCATTTCGCTTCGAGGATTACTGGCTTTGCTGTCTGCAACGAAATGAAAAAACAACGATGTTTCTGGATAAAAATGCTGCATAATAAGTCAAAAAAAAATGAGAAAGAATTTGATAAATCACGACCAAAATTCAGATCACTGACAACTTTTTGCAAAGTTATCCCGGCTAAGGTTTTTGAAAAAATTCGCAAAAACGTTGCAGGAGCTAATCGGGAACTTAGTTTACAGAAGCGCGATCAGAATTCAGTCCATTTCTCACTTAGAAACCAGAAAATCAACAAAGTTTTTCCAATTACTCTCCAAATGAAGTTTTTAAAAAATCTCAAAAAGAAACTCTCAAGCCGGCCTGGATTTATCTCCGGAAGAAAAACAAGTTGACTTTCCCCCATGCGAGGGTTCCGATGAAACCGCCTCAGAAATGTACTTGACAATCATTTAAATTCTCAGTCCTGTTGAGCTCTTTCTCTCGTCATTGACGGTATTCATGAGTGTCGCGGCAAGGATCCGAACTCACAGTGATCCAGCGCCGGCAGCACCGTTACGAGATCCGCTAGTGACGTTAAGGAAGTGTTCCTCACTATATCAATGAATCACTCCAATTTCAACTGTGACAATACACACACGACATACGGGGAGGAATAAAATGTCCAAACTGCCTTGGATTTTTCAGATTTTTATGCGTTTTTTACAGCTATGCAATGCGAAAAACGCATATTGACGAGAGGTTGTCTGTGTGTCTGTTTGTCCGTGTTTGCGTCTGTCACGGCTTTTCATCTCAAGACCTACAAAAGCAACAGGGCTGAAACTTTGGGAACTTAATCTACATGCACGTACGGTCCTCAATCCCCAAAATTGGCACCATTACCCGCGTGGTACCCGCGTACGAGCCCGCCAAAATTTTTTTTGGGTAAGTTCATAACTCGGGGGTCTGAGAAGCTAGAAAGCTGAAATCTTAGGAGAATGTTCCTTGTCCAAGTGGGTATCAGTGGGCTCAAACCCAGCCCCAGGTAAGCGTGGTACCCACGTACGAGACTGCCAAAATTTTTTTCGGGTAAGCTGATAGCTCGAGTACCTCAGAAGCTAGAGGACTGTAATTTTAAGAGAATGTACCCCATCCACCTAAGTTTCATTCAGCTTAAACCTAACTCTCGGGTATACGTGTTAAACTCGCACGGGCCCATGAAAAATTTTTTCCTGTAAGTTGCTAACTCAGGAGCCAGGGAAGCTAGAAAGCTGAAATTTCAAGGGGGGTGTTTTCCGACAGTTCTGGCAGCCAGTCTTAATTTGTTTAGCTATAAGCTTTTGCCCAAAAAGCCGGTGCCGGTAGCAACAAAAACTTGGGGGAACTATGCAAAAAACGCATCTTCGTTGGCCAATTATTCACAATTACCAGAGCCACGCTGGCCAGCGATATGGGGTATTCCATGTTAGTGATGATACTGAGATGCTTGCGCACGCCGAGCGCAGTTGTGCCGGCCCTTTTGATCCTGGACTGAGCTCCGCTTGTTCGACGTATATGTGCCATCTCTTCCAAGGTTAACCGGATGACCGCCGTTCATTCCCCTGTGAGTACTGTTTGCGAGCATATGCCTAATTAGTGAGAGGGAGTAATTACTGTGGCCATTTGAACAATAAAATATGAGGCACATTTGCACTTATTTTCAGAAATATTTGTGCTGTCTTTTTTTTTGAAGTAATTTTTCAGCATTTTAAAATGCATCTGCTGTAATTAAATGTTTTTTCATCAGAATAATAGTGGTTATAATTGCAGTTTTTATCATTATTTATGCTGTCTTTTTCTTTGAACTAACATTTTTTATCAGAATAATGTTTGTTTTTATCAGAATAATAATGGTTAATTACAATTGTTATTTTTATAATAATTATTATTATCACTGTTATCACTGTTACAGTTATAACGATAGGTATTATTATTATATTTTGTATAATTTGTTGATTCATAATTCTTTCAGAAAGCAAAGCGAACGTCAGCATCGCTAGCAGGCTGACCAGCAGGCGCTGTAGCACTGATCAAAGCATCTGGAGAAGCTGCCAACTTTCCTTTTTACTCTTGTTTAAGTGTGATTACTGAAATATGATCGTGGGCAAAGACGCTGATTTCCCGCACTATTCCTTTATCACCCCGTGGCTTACGATCAGATCGCTAGACTGTGTAGATGGCCGATGTTAATTTGAAAGAAGTTCACAGCTACTTTTATCTCGACCAGGAAGTAAATATATGGGACACCAACTGCAGCCGAGGATTTCACGTAAAGGGGCTATCAGTTGACGCAAATTTGCAGTCAATATTCTCGAGGTGGATAGAACCAATGTATTGCAGCCTCTTTAGTGTTACGGAAATTACTGAAAGTGGGAATCAATTAATGGAGGCAAAAAACTAGAGACAAAATAAAAGGGATTACCGGATGTGCGGTAAATAAAAAAAAAAGAAACTTTCTCCCGACTTCTGTCACGTTTCAGATGCATTTTTCAGCCAGATGATTTCGATCTAATTTAATGCGACTTGTTAAAACAAATCCACTAATTGCTTTGAGCATCTCTTTCAAGAGTTTTATTCTGCCATGCATTTCCGCATGGCATCCAAAAAAAGCATGGAGAGCCTGCTCGCCAAGGGCAGGCTGTCTCCTGAGCCGATTATGCACGAGACCAAACCTCCAGGTCTTTTGGAAGAGCTTTATTCCCGTTGCTTCACCGTAAGTTCAAAAAATGAGCGGAGATCCCCACTGAAAGGGACCAGTCCTGCAGAAACTGCCCAAGAGCAAAACAGGGTGTTTCTGCTTGATCTATTACGGAGCATGCAAACAGTCTCCAGTGGATTGTAGTGCCAGATATCTCTGTGTATTTTTGTTCCATATTTTCGAGGATCATTGGGTGACATGGCAGCACCTAATCCATTGTGAGCAGCGACGTAGAAGCGGCGTAGAAGCAGATCTCGAATTGCCAGTAAGATGCGCACTTTAGCTGATTCTTCCTAGTGAACTTACTAGATGCTGCATCGCACATTGCTCATGCTTCATTCACTGCTTTGAAAAGAGTCTTGAGTTCGCTTCTACGTCGCTGGGGCTAAATTCACACACCAAACGCGCATTTTTTGCACCAGAAGGGTTGCGGTATTTTCAATAATCGCAAAGCGGTGCCTCATTTTTCCCTGCTTCCTCTCCTCGCTTACCCAAAAACCACATTTTTTAGGCTTTCTGTGCTAAAATTTGTTGCTTTGGAATCGTTTTTATTCAACACAGTTTAACATGAAAAAGCGTAATACATACATGAAGTGGTAGACACATGTACCTATATGTGCATAAATAGTTGTGGCTTCTTTTTATCAATAATTAAATCACTATTTTTTATATAAATTTCTCTTTTACTTATTGACTTAATATTTCGTCGCTAATTTTGACGTCCTTTTGGCTCGCATTACTGCGCATCAAAAATGACTTTTTGCATTTTCCCACTCCACATGGATGTGGCGCATTTCTTAAGCGAGATGAAATTGGCGAATTGAGTTCGTATTCGACGAATCGGACGAGAATTGGATGAAACTGAGCAATTTGAGTGCTTCAGAAGTGTCCAGTTTTGCCGCGCACTATGGCGCAGCATACCAAAAAAACAACAGGAACCCCTTGTGCCGGAGGAGGGGTTATCCAATTGCACTGACCATCATAGTATCTCGATGCCTTCCTGGATTCACCGCAGGAACTCTTAGTAATTCAAAATAATAAGCAGGAACTCTCGCATGGGAGAGCAGTCCCGGATGGATGCAGATAATGCGCCATCCACAGCGAGATCCATCCCTCTGTGCATATTGTTTCCAGCGGATTACATTGTCACCGCAGTCATTGTGTCTTTGTCCCCCCATTTTTCTTAGATCACTTGGCGGAATTAGCTGGCATTTGCGAGCCCCTTCTGAATCTCGGCGTAATGGTACACTTCGAGGTCTCTTTCCCAGCATCGCGTTCTATTTGGCTGTCCAAACTGAAAGTTGCCAGCGTTATTGGTGCTGCATAAATTCAAAGTCATGAAATGGCGCAGTGCCAAGTAGCAAAACTTCCATACCGATCTTCGCCAGTTGGACAACCAGTCCCTCTACGATCCATTCATTCGTTTCGATGGTACTGGCAAATACTAAGCCTGTTTATAAGCAGCACACACTTGGAAAGTGCCTTAAAATTTCTGGAGTTGCGCATCGATAAAAACACCTACTCAAATTTCATTTTGCTCTCCTGCCCTCAGTGTTCTATCATGCCTTGCTCTCGAACTACTAAATTTTCATGTAGCAACATACATGAAACGTAGCCGCATTTAAAATTTGAAAGCTAAATTTAAAATTTTCAAAGTTGCACGTGGTGGACATGAAGTATCCTTTTGAAATTTAAGAATTCTTCCTCATCTGCTTCCCAATTTGAAAACAAAGCCGAGAACACCCTACTGAGACTTTTACGATCCGTACGCAAAACCTAGGCGTATTTTAAATTTCCCATTCACGCATAAGCATGGAAAATTCTCGTAAAATTTTAGCCTCTTAGCTTTCCTGGTTCCTAAATTATAAAATTTCCCGCTAAAATCGTCATGTGCCGTATATAAGACTTAGGCGTACTTGAATGCTGAATTTTAATTTATGGGGTAGCAATATGAGCAGGTAACCTCATCCCAGTATTTCAACTTCCTAGCTTTTTTGGTTCCTAAGTTGTTAATACCGGGCAAAAAATCCGGACACACATACATGCACACACACACACACACACACACACACACACACACA